CCCCAGAGGCTGCATCCTCAGGTGTAAATCTGCCAAGTACTCTGGCTTCTCTAAACAACCCTCCCTCTTAGCCTTCCACCTTTGTGCTCAACAAGAGTGGGTGAAAGGTGTGGCCAGTGTGGACTTTGCCATGTGAAGGGCTATTGTTCTAAGGAGTGTCAAGTATGGGAAGATATCTATAAAACCAGCTTAGCAAATTTCCAGTGCATTTATCCATTGCCGGGGGGCATAGGTCTTTCCCCAAACCTTGAAATAATGCAAAAAGTTCTGGCAGCTAAGCAAAAGTCCATAGCCTGTCTGGGCAATTCAAATTTGCATGTCTAGGGCAGAAGATGGTTGGTACACAGGGCAAACACGTTCAGTTCCTGTCATAAGAGACCACTATGAGGACCACTATGACCTGGTGGCTCAGTCAGTTAGACATCTGATTCTTGATTTCGGCTCAGGTTATGATCTCTTGGTTCATGAAACCAAGCCCCGCGTCGGGCTCTACACTGACAGCTTAGAGCCTGCTTGGGATTCTCTCTCTCCTTTTCTGCCTCTGTCCCACTCTAAACAAACAAACAAACAAACAAACAAACAATCAAACATTAAAAAGAGAGAGAGAAAGAGACACTATGGGTACAGACTCCTGTTTCATCCCTGGTGGAGTCTTTGTGATATAACTGCAGCCTGGAATAAATGTCCCTGAGTCCCCTGAACCCATCCCTGGCCCCCGGCTCTCCTGCTCCATCCAGACTGAGTTGCCTGGGACACACCTTTGTGTTCAGCCATCTACAGCACTAAAACTTCAGGGATTTTGGTTGCCCATCAGTCACCCTTGCAACTCTGGTGCTCTGTCCTCTGACCTCCTCATCATAGGAATTGACCATGTCTCCCAAATCAGACCCTGGACTCTAGGCAAGTCAATACGCATCCTCCCATATCCTCACTTTCTTGTTGATTCCCGTCTCTACCTGCTTGGAACCCCCTGCCCCTTTTAAGCTTCCCCTGTCCTTTAAGCCAGATGCTTCCTTGAATCCTTTCCTGAGGATATCAGCCCCCGTTGAGTTTATTTAGTATCCATCTGGCTAATGTAACAGCTGATCTTGATGGGGTTCAGGGCAGGCTGCCCCAAGGTGTGCCATTCCAGCATATTGATTATTTTGAATTAAAGTTACTTAGGAAACAGCCAGTGTAAGGACACTCTGAACTTTCTCTGTCCCCCTGAAAGCAGAAAATAAACCCCCCATGCAAAGGTACTCTCTCTGCACCTGGAATGTAGAAGGCATCCTTATCACCAGAGAAAAGGAATTCAGGGCTGAGAAGGCCGTATAAACAAACCTGTTACTTCTTCATTCATATTCTACCCCCAAACCCATACTTGTTTGTCCTGTCAACTCTTCACAAAGGTATTGTTTCTTTGTCTAAAAAGTATGAAAGCTGCCCACTTTGGTCACTTCTTTGAGTCTCATATCTTTGGGACCCCAGTACACACAAATTTAATTTTTTTTTCTGTTAATTTCTCTTTCATTGCAGGGGGTATCTCCGCCAAGATCCTGGAAGGGTAGAGGAAAATGTATTTTTTCTTCCCTACAATCTTGTGCAGACATTCTCCACTATTGCACTGCCCCCTGGATCTAGTCTTCTCAGTTTCAAAGTGTGCAGGACAGAAACTACCTTCTGCTTATTCATACTCCCACTCCCCCACCGTGCTGCTTGGGATAGTACCGAACTCGCAGTAGATGTTCAATCAACTCTTGTTAATGGTTTGATATTCAGACTAAGAGGAAATGCCTTGGTTCCATTTGGTTTCGTTGTGCGCTGGTAGCTTCTGACCTTTTCAAAGTCAGGAGGACCTCCGCCCGAGATGAATGGCATTGTGAGTTTTGCTGGACTGAGGGGGCACATGATGACAAATGCTTTGGATGACTTATCATTTATTCATCCTAACAGCGACTAACACGTTTGAGAAACAGTCATGCCATGCAGCAGAGTAAGAGTGGCCACTCAGCACTGGAGAATGTTTGCTGCAGACACGGTTCAGGAATTCTCTGCTGTAACTGGGTAGCAGAGACCCTATGACTCCGTGGCCTACAGATTGGGAAGCTCTGGGGGATGCATTCAACACCATGCTTATAAGTACCTAATCCGTGCACCTTCTCTCTCTGCTGTCAAACCCTGATTGCGTTTAAGATATGTTATAAAACAGGGGCTCCCAGTCACTGAGTCAGTTAAGTATCCGACTCATGGTTTCACCTTAGGTCATAATCCCATGGTTCGTGGGATCAAGCCCTGCGTTGGGCTCTGTGCTAACAACACGGAACCTACTTTGGATTCTCTCTTTCTCTCCACACACACCCCCCGAAATAAATTAATAAACGTTTAAAGAAGATATTTTGTAAAACACATGGATGGATACTACAGAAAAAGGGGTTAGGAAGAATTCATAGATTCATAATGATAGCATTAATAATTTATTGTTGAGCACTAATTGTTGGATGCTTTGGGTCATTTTTTAAAATGTTTTTCTTATTCTTGAGAGAGAGAGAGAGAGAGAGAGAGAGAGAGAGAGAGAGAGAGAGCATGAGCAGGGGAAGGGCAGAGCAAGAGAGGGACACAGACTCTGAAGCAGACTCCAAGCTCTGAGCTGTCAGCACAGAGCCCAACGTGGGGATCAAACTCACAAGCTGTGAGATCATGACCTGAGCCAAAGTCAGACACTCAACCGACTGAGCCACCCAGGCACCCCAGGTCATTTTATTTGTTATGTATGACTTACCCGTCATAGAATTCTATGAAGTATCATTATTCCCAGGAGCAAACTGTGAGTGGAGGTCATTGTGGAAATGGAGGAAGGGCCCAAGCTTTGCATGTGGGTAGATGAGATACAGAACAGCAATGACAGGTATGCAAAGTGTGGTCCATCCATGCAATAGAATATTATTTAGCCATAAAAAAGGAACAAGGGGCTGGTTCACACTGCAACGTGGACAAACTTTGAGGTGTTTTGCTAAATGAAGGAAGCCAGACACAAAAGGCCACACACTCTATGACTCTATTTACATGGAGTGTTCAGAATAGGTAAATCCATAGAGAGAGAAAGCAGATTAGTGGTTGCCAAGAGCTGTGAGGGGGTGGGGAACTGTGAGGAACTGCTTAATAGATATGAGGTTTCCGTGTGCAGTGATGAAATATTCTGGAAGTAGATAGTGCTAGTGGTTGCACAACACTGTGTATACACTTAATGCCACTGAAGTGTTCACTTTAAAAGTGGTAAATTTGGGGGCACCTCGGTGGCCTAGTCGGTTAAGCGTCCGACTTTGGCTCAGGTCATGATCCCACAGTTCATGGGTTCAAGCCCCACGATGGGCGCTGCACTGACAGCTCAAAGCCTGGAGCCTGCTTTGGATTCTGTGTCTCCCTCTCTCTCTGCCCCTCCACCTCTTGCGCGCTCTCTCTCTCTCTCTCTCTCTCTCTCTCTCTCTCAAAAATAAATAAACATGAAAAAAATTCAAAACAAATAAAAATGGCAAATTTTATGTTATGGGCATTTACCACAATTTACAGCAACAACAACAAAACAAACAAAAATAGCAACAGTAGCCCGCATGGAGACAGGATCCCAGAGACGGGGTGACCATTCAGAAAGAACACTTTGGGAGCCTATAGACACAGGTGGGATCACTTGGAGATCATAAAAACAGTGATGATTGTTAAGAAATTAATCAGTCACTGCCCAAAGAACCTCCAAGAATCCTGGCTGGGAAATGCTGTCCCCTGGAGGGCTCAGGAGGGTCGGGGGGTGGGGGTGGGGGGAGGCTGGTTCTCAAGATCCTCACAGAGTACAGACATACTTCCAGCTTATACTTGTTTATCTCACCTCCCGCCACAACAAGGCAAGTGGCCAGTAAGAGCGTGCTCACCGTTACATCCTTGCGCATGAAGGAAAGTGAATATGTGATGCACTCCATGTTCTTTTTTTCTTCCAAGGGAGTGTTTTTTCCTAATGGAATCCAGACTCTTTAAAAATATATATATTAAAAAAAACACAGTTCAATCAGTTTCTTTTGTGAATTTCAAAAGAGATGTTTTATTCAGTTCAGATGTGTGGCAACAGCAGGAGATCAAAGGCAAAAAATAAATACTTGCAATTATTTGTCATATGGATGGGAGGAGAGGACAAAGACTGTGCAAATAACAGAGGGAAAATGGTGGCTGAAGGAACTAGATGGGATGGAACGAACGCCCCATATTTTTCCTTAAATGTAGGGACCTTTCCTTTCTACATCTCTTCAATGGTACTCTCCACTGGCCTATTCTACTCTCCTCACTTTCTCATCTGGACCCATCTTTCCCCAAAATATACCCTCTTATCTTTATAATCTAGAATGGTCACTACTCCTCACCACTTCAATCCACACCTCACATCTCAACTTCCCACTGCACACAGGATCCAGTCCCTGCTCCCCAATGTAACATCTTGCTGGCTTGAACCACCTGACCCCAGCCCACATCACAGGAACCTTTCTTGTAGCCTCTGGGGATGATGGTGCAACTCAGAGGAATGACAGGGATTTCAGGCACTGTTGTAGGCTGGAGATGGGCATTTATTTTAAGATAGGTGAAGTCTTCGTCATGCCCTCAAGTTATACTGCACAAGTGGCCACCTGAACCAGTGGAGTGATGCATTGTTGGAAGTAGGAAGTAAGACCCTCTTTCCACTCCTCCTGGGGCCACCAAGTCAGTGATAGAACAGTTTGTACAGCTGTACAGGCTTTGGGCTTTCTTAGAAATGTCTGAAGACTGACCACAGCACAGTTCTCCAGAGAGGCTTGTCAGCCCTTAGAATGTTTTGGGTGTACAGTTACATCAGGTCACACCCAACGTGAGTAGCACCCTGGCTTGCTTCTTTGAATTCCTCAACTATCAAGATCGCAGCTTGTTACCTCCAGCCTGAAGCTATCTCTAATGACAACTCAGCTCACCTGTATGAATTTTTCCTCCTCGCTCCCTCCCAGGGAAACCAGTTGGCCCACTATGAGGGGGTGAGTCAGCGACAGTCAAGAGGCCATTTTATCAAGCTCACACTGGGAAAATCAGGTAAATTACTGACTGGCACAGGGGCATGCAACCCACGAAATACTCTCCAAGATTAACTCATAGTTTCTGGTTTCTGTGTCAGCTTAAAAAGAAAAACAACAACACTATAAATCTATAAAGGCAGAAAGTAGATTAGTGGTTGCCTAAAATTGTGGGTGGGGAAGGGACTTGGGGGGAAATGGGGAGTGTCCCCTAATAGGTACCAGAGTTTCTTTTCAGGGTGATGAAAATGCTCTAAAGGTAATTGTGGTGATGGTTGCACAACTCTGTGAATACACTAAGAAGTCATTGAGTTGTGCCCTTTAAATAGGCAGTGTATGTGAGTTAAATGTCAATAAACGGATTATTGAAACAAATAGCCTCATCTTTCCCTCCAAAGACAATGTTGACAATCCCCTCAAGACAGGTATGTAGGCAGATTAACCCACCATTACCCCTCACCCCATCTCTCTCCACTTAGCATTCAAGGACCGATTGGAGCCACTCCCTCCGAATGTTCTTCGTTCCTCATTTGGTTCCTCTACCTTATACTATGTCACTTTTATGCAGCGGTGTGCTACTACAGGGTTAACAACCTGCTCTTCAGGGAAGAAAAAACAACCACACCCTAGTTTGTAACATTTGATGATTTCTGGGATGTAAATACTAACACCATACCTGAGCTACAGTACCTGACTGCTGAAGCAGAGTTGGGAAGTGCCTGGCAGGACACCATTAGGTAACATTTCTACCATACAGATGCAAATTACCTCAGGACCATGGCAAAACATCCTAAAACAGTTGGGAAAGGAAGACTTTTGAGTGCACATCAACTTTGAGTGTGTTTCCATCGTCTTTGTGATGAGCTTTGAGAGTGTACCTCTGTCTTTTATTTAGTTAATTGTCAGCTTATACAACTTAACTTGAAATAATGGCTGTGTTTAACCACCAGCTCACAAAATCCCTGAAAAGTTAACCATCAGCAACTACAAGCTTGTATGAGCCAGCTCTAGCATCCCACCTGGCCAGGCCTGCCCTTTTGCCAGAAAGACATCGTTTCCTAGAACGCAGCCTGGACACTCTCAAGAGCAGGGACAGGGCCCATGCTTGTTGATCATGTAATCATCCGTGGGGTTCGGTGGCCAACAGTTACAAGGCATGTTCAACACATGCTCGCTGACTGACAGCAAGAGGTTATCTTTGAACCACCACAGCAGTTAAAGACTGGCAAATAATAGAATAATAGGCTTCTGAACAGCGGAAGATAATGGAATAAGAGAAAAATTAATGCAAATCGGTCTTTAACCTATTCATTTTAATAAGTTAAATACAAGTGAAAGATGTCTGTTCTGTGCTGGGCGCAGAGCAAGATCTCTCTGCATGTGGAGCGTAATGTTACAGGAAGATGATGGAAGATGGAGACCAGAGGAATCTGCTTACAGGAAGTAGTTTTAGAAGAATTAAGGCAAAGAATCTGGCTTACCTTCTGACCTACTAAATGAAAGATTAAGCAGGAAGGTGATAGGGCATAAGGTCAGTGTTTCCAAACTTTTTGGAACACATACCCTTCACTGATTAGCATAAAAAATGCCCCCTTTTCCTCAGAGATTGTGATCTGTCCCCCTAGGGAGTAGAACCATTGCCTTTGGATGACAATCTCGCATACTCAGAACTCCTGGGTCTCCCCGCCAGCCCAGGGGATTTGCAATTTTATTTATGAAAGCATAACGGTTTTGGTCG